ATAATATTTCAGCACCTTCCCTATACGATGTCTAAACCAGCTTTCTGCACCCCAATGTTGTCTGCATGTGTTATCCCAAAGGTGTTTTCAAAAGGCAACTGGACTTTCTTGTTTCTCATTGAAGACATTCACTTCTTCTCCAAGAAGCTTCCTCAGTTCAGAAGAAGCTTCCTGGAGGAGAAGCAAAACATCTTCAAGGAAAACCAAGAAAGTCCAGTTGCCTTTTGAAAAAAGCACCTTTGGGACAACTACAACCCGGATGTGTTAAGTTTCCAAATCCCTACATACTTTTGGTGTTCACTTTGACAAAAGTTGATCACTTGTATGCATGAGCTTCTTAGAGCTTATGTGCCAGAGACCAATTCCTTGTGTGTCCAATCACATTTGGTTGTTCTCTTCCATCCCCTCCCATCCCATACTATAATATCCTCCCCTCCCCTCCCCTATTCTATCCAAAAGTTAATTCCTAGTTATACAACACAACTCATTTTAATGGGTCAAAAGCTTCTGCTACTTTGGAAGCCCTTCCCATATTCCATGCATCTCTACAGATTCTATGGGCATTAAGTGAATTTTGAGAATCAACATGAACTAATTAATGTGGTCTTTTCCTGCTGTGCGTCTTCTTATGGCGATTCAAGTTGCCTCTGGTTCCGAAGTTCTTTCCACACTCCACACACTGATATGGCTTCTCCCCTGTGTGGATTCTTTTATGAATCGTAAGATTCCTGCTAACTTGGAAACTCTTTCCACAGTCGATGCATTTAAATGGTTTCTCTCCTGTGTGGATCCTCATATGGCAGGTAAGTGTGCGACTCTCACTATAACATTTTCCACACTCCAGGCATTTATAGGGTTTCTTACCTGAGTGAATCCTTCTATGGTTATTGAGTGAATGCTTTTGATTAAAACATTTTCCGCACTCGTTACATGCATATGGTTTCTCCCCTGTGTGGATCCTCTTGTGGCTACAAAGGTAAGCACTTCTGCTAAAACTCATGCCGCACTCCATGCACTTATACGGTTTCTCTCCTGTGTGAATCCTTTTATGGATCGTCAGTTCTTGAGACACATTGAAGCATTTTCCACACTCCGGGCACTGATATGGTTTCTCCCCAGTGTGGGTTCTGCTATGTACGATATAGCGATGTTTGTCACTGAAGCTCTTTCCACACGTGCGGCATTCGTATGGTTTCTCCCCGGTGTGGAGCCTTTTGTGGCAAGTAAAGTGTGACGACCTGGTGAAGCATTTGCCACATTCAAGGCACTTATAAGGCTTTTCACCCGTGTGGGTCCTTTTATGGGAAGCAAGACTACCTGAATTATTGAAGCACTTTCCACACTCAGTACACTGATACGGTTTCTCTCCAGTGTGGATATTGTTATGGGAAGTTAGGTGGCTGGAACTGTGGAAGCTCTTTCCACACTCCAGGCATTTGTATGGTTTCTCCCCTGTGTGGATCCGTTTGTGGGCATGCAAGCTATAAGAACTGGCAAAGCACTTTCCACACTGTAGGCATTGAAAGGGCTTCTCCCCTGTGTGGATTCTGTGATGGGAAATAAGGTTTGTTGAGAAATGGAAGCTCTTTCCACACTCCATGCATTGAAATGGTTTTTCCCCCGTGTGGATCCTCTCGTGTGACTTAAGATGAACTTTTTGACTAAAGCTGTTTCCACAGTGCAGGCATTTATAAGGTTTCTCCCCTTTATGCATCCTATTATGTAAAGCTAGAGTACCGCTTCTGGCAAAGCTTTTCCCACACTCCAGGCATTCATAGGGTTTCTCCCCCGTGTGAATCCTCTTATGGCAAGTAAGGGCACCAGGGGTCGTGAAGCATTTTTCACACTCTGTGCATTTATACGGCTTTTCTCCCGTGTGGATCTTCTTATGTAAATTGAAATAACCTTTTTGGGTGAAACTCTTTCCACACACCGTGCAATGGTACGGCTTTTCCCCTGTATGGATCCTATTATGGTAAGAGAGCTCACTTGCAAAGCGAAAGCTCTTCCCACATTCCAGGCATTTACATGAATCATTCCCGGTGAGGCTTTTTTTCCAGGAACTCAGTTCCTTGTTCCAGGTAACCCTCGTTCTACTCTGCCTGCGTTGATACAACGTCTCCTCTCTGTGGATGCTTTGATGGGAAGTAAGGGAGGCTCTGCTTCCGAAGCTCTTTCCGCACTTGATGCATTGATGCTGCTTCCTCCCTTTGTGGACCCTCTGATGTGAATTCAGGTGATTTTTCTGACTGAAGGTCTTTCCACAATCCTGACATGTGTGTGGATCCTCTGCTCTATGAATCTTTTTATGCGATGCAAGGGAGCGGCTTGTACCAAAGCTTTCTGCACACTCTGTACATTTGTACAGTTTCCCTCGTTCTTGTGTTCTCTGATGTAAAGAAAGAGGAAGGGTCCTTCTGGAGCATTGCCTGCTTTCATCTTGTTTCTCTCCTCCAGCAGGGCTTCGGCAACAATCACATAATCCCGATTC